GCTGAACATGTTAGAATCCAGTGAAAATAGCAAGTGTGTTAAAAGGTAGCCAGGAGGACAAACCATTAGGTACAGTTTAATGCCTTCAACTCACTGCAGAGGTTCATATTAGAGCTTGTGGTCTAAATTACTTATGCAGTTGTTACATGGAAGATAAACAGAACTAAAGAGCAGGAAACAAAGTGTGGCAGGCAAAGGGCTGCACACCAGAGATTATGATGCAGCTTGAATGTTTGCCGGTGGGATAGTTTTGAGCAGCTGTTCCATGCCTATAATTATCACAGCTTTTCCTTGCATTCTCAAACTGCCATCCTATGCATCTTTTGGCCTTGCACACAAAAGGCAGGCTCTGAAAAAGCTCTCCAGCTGGCAGCAGAAATGTATGTAGTCATCATCTAGATCTAAACTGGAACTCTGACAATGGTTTTGCCCTTCAATCGTTCTTTCTGTTTCTTGCTACCAGTTTGCAGTAAACGATGGGGTACGATCACAGCGAGCTGTGGTGTGGTTACCCTGTCCTTAATTTCAGTGACCTCACACAGCCTCTTTGTTACAAACACAGAAGATCTCAGCAGGTCACAGACAAAGAAAAAAAAAACCACCTCAGAGGATTTTGATGCCTTCTCCCCCCGCCCTTCCCAAACTCGGAAGAAAGAGTTCATTTTGTTCACTTTTCAGAAACAGGTTACAATGGAAAGAAGACCAAAAAAAATCAATTCTCAGTGGCAGAAGTAATTTCCAAGAAAACTATAATCTTCTGTTACAACCCAATTAAGCAGCCTCACTCACAGACTCAGAGCAATAAGGAAACAGCAAGGTACACTGTAATAAATGGGACTCAAGGATCACCGATGCATTCCCATTGATTTCAGTCAACCTTAGGCACAGTCCACAAACACTACAGGCTTATGCCTTTGACCCCCATTGCGAGTGCGAGCAGAGTACCATAATTTCATAGACACATCAGGATTTGAAAATACATAGCAAATTTTACAATTATATATTGTAGCAAAATTTGGTTTAATTTTTTTACCACTCTGATTCAGGTCATTGGGACGTAAAAAGTTCCGCAAGTGAGTCATATGTCTATGTAAGGTTTATAGCACCTGTGAAGATTAATGTTCTTGTGTTTTGTTAATGGAGAAGAGGGAAACCTCTGGAACTGTAAACTTGCTGTCTATCTTCAGTCACCAAACTACACGAATTCCACAATACCTGCTTCCATCACTGGTTACCATAACCCGAACAGCCAAAAGGTTGTGTTCAGTCATCTCTTCTTCTGGGATAACCCTTACGGAGGTCCACTCTGAGGACACAGAGGAACCTTTGCCTCTGAAGTCAATTTCAGGGACATTCTTGCATTTCTTTGGAGAAGTGGGTTCATTTCTTGGATGATAGGAGCAGTCTAGAGAAAGGAAAGGAAAAGAAGCCTCTCTGTATCATAGTATAATAATGCCATGTCATTTATTTAAGAATGCGTCAAATGTTACACAGAAACTGGGGAAGAGGCAGTGTAAACTGTTTGCACTTCCTCTTTCTGTACTTCCTGTGTTACCTGCAGGGGCAGATTAACCATTAAGCAGACTAAGCACGTGCTTAGGGCACCAGGGCCAAAGGGGGCAGCTCAAAGTTGGGGAAAGGGTGAAAAGCTTAGTTTGTACAATATATTGTGTTATCCTATGAATACATTTTTGTATTGCTGCCACCTGCATTGTATATCTGGCCAGACAGGTCAACAACTAAAATGGACTGGGTCAGTGTGGAAAGGAGGGGGGCACCAAGATGGGTCAGTGCTTAGGGCACCAGTGAGCCTTAATCCGCCCCTGGTTACCTGACTATGAATACTAATCTGCCTTTTCAGAATGCAAAAAGTAATTCTCCATGTGCTATGGACATCACATGTCTTTAAAGGTGAGTTTAAAAACTAGTAAAGTAGTTTGGATCACTTGTCCTGTGAGTGCTGCTCAAGAGAGTTTGTGGAGCACAGATTTGTTAGCATGAGGACTCAACTGTAACCAGGTTTCATAAAGTCTGATGCTAATCTAGTCTAGGCAGGGCTCTTTTTGTAGAAAAAGCCCAGCAGGAACTCATTAGCATAACAGGCCACACCCAACAGCTGAAACTCATTAGCATAGTAGGCCACACCCCGACAGCACAGCTCATTAGCATATTAGGCCACACCCCCATGTCACCAGAAGTGTTGTCATCCAGCCACACCCACCTTTTGCTTCTTATTCTGTTTACCTTGTTTGTGGTCAAAACCCAGGGCTTTTTTTGTAGCAGGAACCCTTTGCATGTTAGACCACACACCCCAAATGTAGCCAATCCTAATGAGTTTCTGCTGTTGGGTGTGGCCTATTATGCTAATGAGTTCCTGCTGGGTGTGGCCAACTCAGGAGCCAGCCTGAACTCCGTTCCTGTGCATTCC